CATGGCTAGTTCAGGGATCAAACGTGGAATTTCCAGCCACCTCCATGGCTAGTTCAGGGATCAAACGTGGAATTTCCAGCCACCTCCATGGCTAGTTCAGGGATCAAACGTGGAATTTCCAGCCACCTCCATGGCTAGTTCAGGGATCAAACCTGGAATTTCCAGCCACCTCCATGGCTAGTTCAGGGATCAAACGTGGAATTTCCAGCCACCTCCATGGCTAGTTCAGGGATCAAACGTGGAATTTCCAGCCACCTCCATGGCTAGTTCAGGGATCAAACGTGGATTTTCCACGTTTGATGACCAATGGAGCGAGCGAAATCGTTCGCTGGGAAAATCCTCCGAAAAAGTTCGCAACGGGACATGGCTTCCACGATTCCTGACGGATCATCAAAGCCAAGGTTTCCACAGGCTTTCCTCGTTGAACATGTCCCAGCCTCCGGGGAAAAAAACCAATCTCGGGATCACATCTCGTTGTGGCCGAGCTGAGGTTTCCTAAAATGAGGAGTATAATCCATAGTAGTAGCCCTAGTTCTCATCCCATTTTTTTGAAAACAAAACCCATTACAATTCAACCACCCACCCAGCTAGTAGTTTTCCCCCCATCTTTTGCTGTGATTTTCCAACGAAAAAACCATCCGAGCTCGTGTTGGAGCCCAGGTTACGAGTACATGAGCGACAGCCTTGGGCGTTGTGTCTTGGTGGACCACGGTGCCATGTTCCCCGAAGGGACCATCAACTTGGCCAACGCGCAGCGTGGCGCCAACGGTTTCTGGGAGCTGGCCAACTTGTGGCAGGGCTACTGCCACCTGGCGATGGTTGGGGTGATTGGGGTGGTTGGGGTGGTTTGGGGTGGTTGGGGTGGTTGGGGTTGGGGGTTGGGGCGAGATTTTGGGATGGAATCGCCACATTTCAGCATTTTTTTTGGGTGAAACGTAGAAATCGTACAATGTAGAGAGATAAATAATGTAAAATCTATATTTGTGCAGGATGTGGGAAACTCGAAGTCCCCATAACCATGGAACGTGAATAAAAGCAAACACAGATAACAAAACCTTCAATACACCAAAAAAACATGGAACACATGAACAAAAAGGTCGCCTCTGGTAATTTGTTACCTAGTTCCGGAAACCATCATTTTGAAGGTAAAATCATTGCACTTTACAGGGCCATGGCTTCCATAGCTTTGTAGAATTGCCGGAGGGTATGGGGAAAATTCGGAATATATAGTTAGTTCATAATTTACATTGATACATACTAAGTCATACTAAGTCACACTAGGTCACACTAGTTCCTAGAAATGTGATACCCTCTGGTAAACTAACATAACTATGGAAAATCTCCATTTTTAATGGGAAAATCCACTATTTCTATGGTCATTTTCAATAGCTATTGTGACATAACCAGAGGGAAAATTTACAGGAAACCCCTATATTTGATGGTAAAAACCCATGGGTTTCCGGTTAAGATTTTCCCTTCAACCAATCCAATGATAGAAATGTGATATGACCAACCCTCCCAAAACAAATCCTCCACGTCCACCCGGGTCACCGATCGGTCACCCAGGCGACCGTCGCGCCGTGGCGCTACGGCAGCAGCACGACCGGCAGCTGCAGCGCCTGCGCGCCGAGGGCCGCGAGCGCGAGCGCGGTGCCCTGGAACTGCGAGAGGCCCTGGAAGAAGAGCTGCAGGAGCCACTGGATGCGGTGAAAATATGTGGCTTTTTGTAGGTGATTTTAATGGCATAAAAAATGATGGTTTTCCATGGGATTTTTAATTGTGGTTTTTCATGGGATCTATAAATTTTCATGATTAATGATGAAAAACCTAATGATCTATAGAAAATGGGAGTGATATGTAATGATAGTCATTCATAGAAAGTTGTTACCCTCTGGTTATGACTAACAGTTTGCCATGGAAAGATCCACCATGCTATTAATAGGTAAAGCCAGGTAAACCATCTATAAATGGGCCATCTATACCATGGCTATGTTAAATAACCAGAGGGTATGATTAATGATTATAACCCATACGTAACCAATGTAACCAGTGATCAATGTTTATAATCCATATGCAACCAATGGTTTATAAATGTTTTTAGATGTTTGTAAATGTTTATGATCCATATTGTGGCCGTTATGTAAGCCCTTTTTAAAATCCCATATCATCCAGTGGAGAAATTCCTTATACTATGGGAGGTATGACCCATTTACTAAGTGGGATGCACCCCCAAGTTCCTGAGCATTAAGTTGTTGAAAAATGGAGGTTTGCCGTTGACCTGTGCAAAATGAGGGGGTTGATAAAAATTGGTGGGTGAAAGAATGGTTTACTGTTAAGAACCGGGGATTGCAGAATGAACATGGTGGGTTCAACCGAGTTTAATTATAAACAATGAATTTTTAGAAACTGGGGTGCGTATGGGTGCACGAAAAATGGTTTGGTGGCCTAGTCAGGCGAACTAGTCGCCACGGGCCCTGGATCTCAGACGAATGGCGATAGAGAGAGAGAGGGGACGAGAGTACCCAAAAGGGGCAGATTTCACAATCTTTCAGCTGTGTTTTTCTTTTTAGATGACAAAAAAGAGTTCACCGCTTTTTGATCCCTTAAAAACCAGCAATTTGTTTGATCAATGTGCCAATCAATTGAGAGATTTACCATAGAAATGGCTTCACAAAGGTCAGCAATCAGGCTTTGCCTTGGTCGACAGGAACACTGGAGTCGCAACGCCGATTCCATGCAGGCGCTGGCGCGCCAGGAATAGTGAAGGTTTGTAGGATGGAGAGGATGGAGAAATGATGAGTAAATAAGCCCAGAAATCATGGACTAATCATGGGGATAGCTATGAAATCTATGAACATCGACACGTTTTTGATGGGGCCGGTCATCTCTCGGGATGCCAAAAAGGCTGCTTTGTGGCCAATTTTTTCGTGGGATCATGATGATCAACGATGAGAAAAATTGGGATAGCTATTTTCAGAGAGACCCATTGATGTATATACCCTCTGGTAAACGTTTACAGAGCTATTGAAAATGGATGAAACTTCCATTTATAGTGGATTTACCCATTAAAAATTAATACTTGTATATAATACTGGTTGATGTATATGGAATTTTATGACTTTCCATATTAAAATTTCATAATCCCAACTGACTTTCATATTTTTCAGAGGGGTTCAAACCACCAACCAGAATATCACCACAAAAAGCCAAACATTTTGGGGGGTGTGAGTACCAAGGGAATTTCAATCATAGTTTTGTCCAGCTGGAGTGCTACCCGTCAAACCAGACTTTCTGGTGAACACCGTATCATGGAGGACCATCAAATCCAGCGGATCTCGGGGCATTTGATGATTCGCTTAGCAACCAGCGGATTCGTTGCTACCTCTGAAGATTTTGCTTCGTTTCTGAAGGTCTTGCGGCGATGCCGGTTTTTTTTTCACAGCTTTTGGTTCAAGTCAGCCCGTTCCCACCACATTTTCGGCAGCCACCGCGGGCGACGCTGCCATTTTCGGTTGACAGATGGGGTTCGATCCAAGAGTCATGGCCATTGCAGGAGGAGCCTTGGGTTTTCTGTACATCATGGCCGTCGAGCCCTTGAACCCCAAGACCAAACGACAGGAGGGCTACAATCCAGAAACTTGGCGCAAGGGTTGTGCTTGGTTGTTCTAGTTGGTTGGTTGAGGGGGTGCTTGATGTTCGATATAGGGGATGGTTTCAGAGAGTTTTGGGGAAAATCTGGAAGATGTTGAGTCCCGGGATGATTCTGGATGACTCTTAACCTTTTACAGTAGCCGCTTCGTCATGTATTCGCTATGGATGTCATGGGCAGATCTGATTTTGACCTAGCTCAGTGACTTGGAACAGCGCAGACTTCAGGAACCCTATGCATTCCAATGGAAGGCCCGATTTGAAGAGTGGATGGGCTGGAAACCGCAAACCCGCCTGTAGATCCAACCAGCACCGATCTGAAGCTGAGCAGCAGAACCAACCCGCAACGCGGACCGGACAGAGGAAGAAAAAAGGTGGTGAGAGCGCACTTTTTTTGGGGGGAGCATGTGAGGATATGTGAGGCTATTCCCCAGCATGAAAACCACTTTTCGTTTTGCTTCTTTCGAAGGGTTGGAGTTCACACCTCAGATTTTTCACAGCAACGGAAGCCATCCCAGGGATGGTCAAAATCCTGCTGATTGGCAAACAATGAAGATGGAAGAAGGGATTCTTGCACTTCCTTGACAAATCCAAAGTAAGCTTCGTTGACAGTATATCTCCGTTCATTAGTGGTTTGATCAGATCAAACCAATCAGTAACTAGTGTTTATGTCCACACGATTCGTTTCTTGTTTGTTTGTTTGTTTGTTTGTTTCTCTTCACTGTTGTTCCTTAATCCCCACTTGAACGTTGCTTAAGCGACTCTTCATCACGAGTTGCTTCCGTGCAATTCCTTCAGATTTTCTCCAAAAAAACCAGCCATGGATTGACATCAAAAATGTCACTCGGAACTCAGACATTGACCAATCCAATGGTCAAACCAATGGCTTTCTAAAGACGACCCAAAAAGAAAATCCAACCCATCCCACCCTGTCACCAGGTTACATCAAGATTTTCGCTGGGATTGAATTTTTGATGGTTTGATCCTACCTTTTGACAAGGTAAACCTCCATGCTTGACACTTGACACTCTCAATTTTTCGCTGGTTAAATCCAACTTTTTTAGATTGTTCAGTGGTTCAACCATCGATCCCAATTTCCATGGCTGAAATACGATGAAATCCCAAATATTGAGCCAATTTCCTGGGCTTAATCACCACACAAACTCCAAAATCGCCCAATGTTTGCCTAGTTTCTGCCCATCAATCATTTCATCAATCCCATAAAAATTCGCTGTGGTAATTTGCCAGGCACATATTTTGAAAAGCCCGGTTAGACGGCAAATCAGCGAGCAGTTTGATACCATATAGTTCATAACATACCATATAACTATGGTATATATAATTACGCTTTGGTTATTTAACATAGCCATGGTATAGATGGCCCGTAGAAATAAATGTTTTACCTATTAAAAATGGTGATTTTCCATGGCTATGTTAGTCATAACCAGATGGTATATATACATATTATAGCTGCCATAATTATATATAACTATACATATTACAGTCATGAGAACAGGCCTTTTGTGTAATACATTATTGATTATCATTCACATAGTTCATAAGATACAATTAGTTATATACACCATCCCAGAGGTTTTTTACATCACGTTTCCAGTTTCCATGACATTGCCATGGCGCCGCAGGTGCTGCTGCAGATGGACCGCCACTCAGATCGTTTAGCGCTTCTGCTGCAGCTGCTGCAGCAGGAAGCGCGGCGCCTGCGGGCCTTGAAGGCGGTAGCCCAATCCACCGGGTTGGAGGCGCAGGCTTAGGCATGGCGGCGCCATGGCGGGGCCATGGCGGAGCCATGGGCGTTCCCGAAAATGGGGGAGCTGCCATGGCCATAGGATGCCAACTTGGGGAGGTTTGGTGGATGAGATTTTTTTCGAAGGTCCAGATCTTGGTAGGAATTGATGATTCAGAAGGGCTGTGTCATTTTCTGAAAGGTGTGGATTCGCAAGAACTGGTTGACAGATATGAAATTGTGGCCGTATCTCCTCAAGCGTAGTTGCGCCCATCATTGAAACGGTGGGCCTTTGGAGATCCCGAGAAACGGAGCCGCGGAGCCTGGACTTTGGAAGCACCAGCATCTCATGATTTTGATGGAAAAGACTGATGTTATGAAATAGATAATATATAGTATATATATACATATATATATATATGGATGATAGATGATATATAGAAAAAGCTTTTGTTTGGTTCTTTCTCGTTTGGTGATTTCAATAAGAGGACTGGGAACCCGGCCCCGGATCTCAAGAGGGACGTCGGAGGAGCATCGCCCGTTCGATGGAGGCTGGTTTCACCTTCTGCGATGGTCGTCTCCGCGTCTTTCTAAACCACATCTTCCAGCGACGGGTGCCTTCTGTAGGGGCCGGAATGGAGCGATCAACGCAGTGTGTTTTGGTGAGTTTTTGTTACTGGAGCCCGGCCCTCAAAGGAACCCACCGCGAAAGTGCGTGTTCTTTTCTGAAAACGACCGAATTCATGGAGAAAACTGCCGTGACTGACGACCACACGGTGACATGGGTTGAGTCAGTGCGGATTCCATTTGTCCAAAGAGAGCACAGAGGCAATGGCTCAAAATTGGAGAGTAAACAAGGATTTTTACCAGTTGCACCGTTCCTTCTGTTGTCATTGCCTTGAAAGAATATGGCTATGTTTCACAGGGTCATGGGTCATGTACTTCGGATGTCTTAGTAAGGTAATAACATGGCAAGAACGGTGTCATCCCCTCGTTTGACTTTCCCGAACTCCAATGGTCACTGATCAACCTCAAAAAATGACTTTGAAATCTTTGAGTTGCCACAAAAAGACTCAAAAAGGCTTCCAGCAACCCATTGGAATGGATTCAAGAACTTGCCCATCCCATGTATGCCATAATATGCCACAATATGCCACAATTATTTCTTGCATTTTTTCTGGCTGTCAATGTTTTTGAGCCACAGCCCCCTTGGCGTCCTTCGGGGACGAAAAGCGGGGGATCTCGGGTGTGTGTGACGCCCGAGAGCCCGTTTCTGCTGCGAAGATCTGCGAGCTGCGCTAAAAATGGACGCAGAACACCGAGGATTCCGGGGGCGCTTTGCCTTGGCTGCTGGTACCATCATTGATACCCTCTGGTAATTTAACATAGCTATTGAAAATACCCCATTTATAATTGATTTACCTATTCAAAATGGTGATTTTCTATAGCTATGTTAGTTTACCAGAGGGTACCACCCTTACTGGTTGGTGGTTTATGTGGTTTGTACTGGTTGGTGGTTTGAAACATGTTTTGAATTTTCCATTTCATATATGGGATGTCATCCTTCCCATTGACGAACTCATATTTTTCAGAGGGGTAGGTATACCACCAACCAATTGGGATCCATTGGGTTAAAAAAACTGGGATGTTTAAGGGGGGACCAGGACAAAGAAAAACTAGGACTGAAGCCGGTTTGTGATGAAAGTGAAAGTGGTGCAAAAAGCATTATATATAGGCACATTAGAAAGCAACAACAGCCGGCACACATCCGAAAAAAACACGTTCATGTCTGCTCATGTCAGGTTTTCCCAATTTTTGCAGCAGGTAACAATACAAGTCACAGGTAACCCACTAGCTGATGGTAAAGCAATATAAAAACATATAAAAACCTCCGAAATTCATCGAAATTCACGGGTTTGTTCCACAACCCGGTGAGGTAAACCCAGTGGTGTTCCACGTCCAACTTTGTGGGCTTTTGAGGGTCAATACCCAAATCCCCGGTAGGTTTTCTTTGCAGAATACCTACCCCATAAACACACACACACATGGATATAGATATAGATATATATAGATATAGATATAGACACACACACACATATATATTATATATATACACATACATATAGGGATATACATATATATATACACATAATATATATATATATAAATTCAATAACCGAGGTGTAAAGCCACCTAGCTATCCAGGCACCAGCTCCAGCCGCCCTCTGCATCCGACCTTGGATCAGCTGATTGGTACCCCGCGGGTGACGCAGGCGTTGAGACGTGGATTTCATGGGAATATCCCATGGAATTTACTTGAAATCCCATGGAAATCATCAGTTATCCCATGAAATTATCCATACCCATGGATTTTAATGGGATTAACTGATGATTAACTGAGGATTTCATGGGGTTAACTGATGATGCACTGATGATTTCCTGGGATTTAATGGGGTTTAATGATGACCTAATAACGACTAATGATAATTCAATGATAATTTAATGGCATTTGAGCTGGTTTTAGCATGCTTTAGCTATCCAATGGTTGGGATAAGCTGGTTTTACCAGCCAGTGGTTAGGAGTTGGCGGTTCAATTTGCCGCAATTTTCGTAGGACATTATAACTGTACTCAATTCTATCTTTAGTAGGCTATTGTAAGTTTGGTATCCATGGGTAGCAATTCGGAACGATGGATATCTATAGACTTTCAGTTGAGTATCTAGAAATCACCCCGTTACAAAAAATGATGAGCTGGCAGCTGGATTGAGTAGTCATTTCAGCTTCCTTTTTGTTGGCTGGAACATGGGTGATATACGCACAAAATGGATGAGTTACGAACCAAAATGATGGGTTATTTGCCAAGAAAATCGTTTTTTTTTTTTTAAATCGATAAATATAGCACACATGGAACACAATATTATAAATCATGAGACCATCGGGCCAAAATGACCCACCATCGGTCACCACCCCCGATCCTATTAAATACCTGCCCTAGGACCTGAAGTTGCGAATAGATCAAATACATTTCGGCAGAGTTTTGCTAGGTCAGTATAGATATAGAATGTATTTAATATGTTGGGGGAAGGGATTACCGAACCTCCAAAAATGGGTTTGACCTACTAAAACTTGGCAGATTTGTGTTTTTTTCCGGTATCACACTGATTTCCATCTGCAGAAAATCATAGACATTTATTCTGCTAGATCTAGACGATTTTTCTACCTAAATTCTACGACAGTCGGGTGGTGAACCTGAAGTCACAAATCAGGGGTAATGAGCCGAGTGTATGGTAATTTTACAATATTTGAATGGTCATATACCTTGATTTTTTTTTGCTAATTTTTGATGGGTTAGATGGTTAGATCAGCATTTTTCACAGTGAAAGCTCCATCTTTCATGTCAGGCTTTAGCTCTGGAACCAGCCAGAGCCAGTGCCTTTCAAAAGTGCGCAGCGTGGGACTCAGTAACTGATGTAACTGGTGGATGTTGGTGGGGCTATCAGCAAGTTATAAAATGTTATACCCTCTGGTAAACGTTTACATAGCAATGGAAAGATCCACCATTTTTAATGGGAAAACTCACTATTTCTATGGCCATTTTCCATAGCTATTGTGACATAACCAGAGGGTAAATAGAAGACACTCCGGTGTCGCCGTGGCTGGAAAATCACCCAGCAATAGTTCGATGATTTTCCCAGCGATAAATTAACCTCCATTGAGTTCGGAGGATCTCTCTATGGATTTTCCAGCAAGCCACGTTTGATTACCGGGTAAGCGAGTGATGGGATGCCACCAAGATACTATCCGGGGATCCGGTCAATCATCGTCGAAATTGGAGATTGAATGTTCAACTTTTGGTTTGGCCTCTTGAACAAATCTGGAATAACCCATTTTTCATGGGAAAATCCATTATAAATGGCCATTTTCAAGAATGGTGAGCCATTTTTCTGGGTGCAGATCCAAGTGTGGAGTTCACCACGATGGGTTTGCAGCAAGTGCTTCATGGAGGATTTTGGATTCGCACGTGGCGAAGTAGCTGACTCACTACCTCCATGGATGCGGAGGAGTATGGACAGAATATGGATGGACAAGGCAACACAATATCGGAACATAATAGGCGCATTACCCGTGCATGCAAATATTGCATTTTTTAAATTATTACTATTATCATTATCATTATCATTATCATTGCAATATTACACTTCTTATTATTATAGTCATCAAAAAGTCCTTTTATTAGCAGCATTAGCAGTAGTACTGTTTTTAACATTATTACTATTATTATCATCTTCATTGCTACTATTATTACTATTATTACTATTAGTATCGTTATTATTATTATAATTATATATACACATGTATAGATGTTATCCTGGGTGGGACCTTCATCATGGGCCGCCCTCGGGTTTGGAGCCGTTGAAGCCGACCATTGGAGGGGGAGAATTTGCAGCGAACCCCGAACGTCCTTCAATGTTCCGTTACAGATTGTCTCCCCCAAAAGAAAGAACCAGACACGTATTTCCAGGATAGATAGACAGATAATGCCAACCCCGGATTCATAAACCATGGTGAATTAATTAGGGGGGTACTCCTCCAATAGTCATTTCATCTGATACTTTAATGGTACCCTCCCAATCAAACAGCCGTTGGGGTTTATTAATCCAGGGGTGACATTAACTATAACCACTATAACCATTCATAAACCAGCACATTTCCATCATAAACCAGCACTTTTCCATCATAAACCAGCACTTTTCCATCATAAACCAGCACTTTTCCATCATAAACCAGCACTTTTCCAATGGTTCCAACTTGTCGATGGCGGCGTCCTGCGAGGCCTACTACCTTTGAAGCTGGTGACGAAGCCGCGAATACCCCGGATGATCTTAGGGAACATAGGAACTTCACTATTTACACATACACATATACATCTACAGTAATATATGTGTCTTTATGCTCGCAAATAGCTGCCGAAGGAATCAGTTTCCAGATCCGATTTTTTGATATTTTTTTTTTGGGAGTTCCCTATTACATCTACTACTCTTCTTTAACCATAGGCCGGGGAGCCCATTGGTCAACCACCGGCCAAAATGACCCTGGAAGAACCAGGGGGCCCCCGGCTGCGTAGCGATCGTTGA